ATGAATAAATAAATAATTTTTGATAAAACACAAAATTCGCGATACTTTTCGAACACACCTCGTAGAAAGATCGAAGTTGTAGAAATGGCTCAGTTTTATATCCTGTCAGGAAATTCATTTAACCATAGAATATGCGTGTATAAATCGAAATACTAACTCAAGTAATATATGCACCCTTAGGGCCAATAGCACAGCCGCAACCGAATTTTGTGTAGTGTAAGTGAAATTATATTGTAAGGAAATAGTATAAAACATAAAATCGGAACAAGAATAATATAAAAAAAGAAATTCATTAGAAATACGTAACATATACATACAATAACCTGTCGATTCTCGTTGAAATTGGAAATATGTATTCTTTGTCGAAGTCTCTTACATCCTAAACGATTTCCACGAAATCCTCGAGTATTTGAAATAATCCTCAACGTGTGTTTACACTATGCGACGCTCGTGTAATTGCATACTTTTAGGGAAATTAACATGTGCGAGTGTGTCATGTGAAGTGCTTTTGGGCGTAGAATGCCACTGATGTGAAGTGATGTGTTAATGTCATGCTTTGAATACTAAAAAATTAAGAACGAAAATGGAGTTTTAAAAAACGCAAGAAAGCTTTATGAACAGAAAATTAAAAATTCACGACAAAAAAATAAATGCAAATTTGCAGTACTCCACGCTGCTGAAGTATTTTGCTGCCGCTGCAATGCACGTAGAAGAGCAATAATTCTCGCAACAAAAGCGCCGTCACTTACGCATAACTCACACTCAACCTGATGGTTTTAATTTCACTTTCGCGCTGGTAGTAAAATACAAAAGGAAGGCGGCAAACAACCCTCGTGATGATAGCAGCTTCGCTCACACCACATACGAGAGCAGAGCACATATGAATACATTATATTATAACGGCTCGTTTCTGAGTACTTGCGTATTACTTACAACAAAGGAGATAAAAACACTCGCACAAAATTAATATGTTGCCATTATGAACTCGTTATTGGAAGCGCGGCAAAAGCGAAACGCTCCGAAGTGGACGCAGAGTGCGAGAGTGGGTGGCGTAACTCATCTACACAAGTAATTTCCTTTACGTACATGCATTTACTCATTTATGAAGCAATTCATAAAACAGGCCACTGACATGGTATATAGTTGTACATATATATATGTATGTATATATGGTACACCCCTGAACTGCCGCAAAGCACAAATTACTTTATTTCGCTTCGCCCCTAAATGTATGCAATGAACTCCCATTTGCACATTAATTTCAGTCGGGACAGAGTGTGTAGCGCACACGAGTGGCGTATTCCACTCATATTAATCTAAATTGTTTTACAAGCCAGCAGAGTAATACATTTGCTTTAAGGAAGAAGAAGGGGAAAACTCCGCGCTGAGAAAGGTCATAAAATCAGCACTCATATTAGTTGTGGCAAGTGGGTGAAACTGTGTAGAAACTATAATAACAACAAGAACAAAATACAAGTTGCAATTCGTTGTCGAGAAATAAAACTCTGCAGAAATTGGCACAAACTAATAAAAGTCCACTTAGACTTTGCTGGCTGCGGACAAATAAGAATACTCGTTTTTTCACCATTAGGTGACAGTGATAAAGTATAGATTTTTGTTGCTCTGGGATTTGGTAGCAAAAATACTAAGCGTGTTATGTTGATATTCAAAAAGCAAAAGAAAGAATATTTTTGCACGTGATTGGGAATATTTCTACAATATGCCACAAATAAGTCGCACACTCAGTGCCGCATTTGCGCTAACTACTTGAACAATTTATGAACTATTATGTTATTAGTCTGGTAAACTTTTTGTTTTCAGTGAAGTGTTCAAAGAAGTCGTGAGCGTGAGTAAAGAAGCTTGAGGTAGTTGGCATTGAGAACGATAAGTAATTTTTTGCGCCCTGACACTTGAATGATTTTATGCCACAGTCTTTAAAGAAATAATTTTTTGCCTAAACTTGTTTCGACAGCAATAATTTACTGTTATTCTGACTAATAATATAGCCTGCTGATTAATACTAATACAACATATAAGTCAATACTATTTGTAAAGATCTCTGAAAGAGGTCTACTTAATATGGTCGCCGTCCGTCATTTACAAAACCATTTTCAATATCTGCGATCAGAGTAAAGAGTGCCAAATTTACAGTTCACGTCCCGTGTAAAATTTTGAAGAAAAAAAAGATCATTTTTATTTTTGCCACATTTCGTTTGTCTTTACCTTTAAAAATACCATACAAATGAATAAAAGAATTAATAAAATGAATATAATGCCCGGTTTCACAGTCCATACTTATGTTGTACTTAAGATAAAAAAGGAAAATAGTGTTTTACAGTTCATACTTATGTAATGCTTCAGTATTGAAAAGGGGAGACTTAAGCAGTGCTTAAATAACAGCTGATTTGTGTTTTGAATTTTCATTTTTTTGTGAAAAAAAGAATAATAAGATATAACAAATTATATTTTGTGAAAAAAATATGGAATCGGATTGGGATTGCGATTTTGACAGTGACCCAGAATACGATGTCCTCTGGAATGTTATAATAATGCGACGAACAAAAGAAAACAGGTCCCGGCCAAAATTCTTCAAGCTATATGACAATAAAGATTTCCGCGACAGATTTCGGATTAGCAAAAACACAGCCTGGAATGTGCTCGATTGTATTCGACTACAAATTGAACACAAAACCAAGTGGTACATCTAAATTGCCTTAAACGACTCAATTACTTTTGCTTACATTGAGGTTTTATGCTACGGGAAGTATGTTGAGGACAGTAGGAGATTTATTTGGAGTATCTAAAAGTACACACCACATAGCCCAATTAAAAGACCATCACATTTATATGCCAAAAACGGAAAGAGACCTGAAAAAGTCCCAGAGAGACTTTTTTAAATTAGCTAAATTTCTTCGAGTGATCGCAGCAATTGATTGCACTCATGTAAAAATAATTTCTCCAGGTAAAGAAAGTCCAAAAAATACTTCACTCAAAAACTTTTTATATTTCTTTATATTTCTCCACTAGTTCCTATAGCTGCTCCGACTCGCTTGCGGCGAAATTTGGGGTCCTTTTCTGGGTTTCATCCATTTACGAAATAACTTTCCTTCCAAAGTTATACGTTGTCTATAATAATTTAAATATTTCATTCATATGTTTGTGGATGACATTTGTAAAACATATGTTGCCCACAACGTTGCCATATATCTAATAAAATTTTATAGAAATTAAGCATTGACTGTGAAACGCAAACGACTACTCAGTTTGCAGCAATGCTTAACTAAGATTTTATTTAGGCACAACTTAAGTATGGACTGTGAAACCGGGCATAAGAATATTCTTAGTTCTTTACTTTCAGGCTTCTAAAGTGTAACCGTGCAGCTCAATCGATTCATTCAGTTTATTTTCCACGCATTTTGCTCCAAAGAATATTTTCGTTTTTTAAAAAAAATGTTATTAATTTTTCTACATTAATATTGTCTGCTTCAAAGCAGTCATTATTCGATATGATGCACTTATCCCAGCATTTCTTCCAAACGTCGAATAACTACTCAAACTCAATCTGTGGAATAGCCTTTAACGCTTTCAGCGATACGATTTTAACCTCTGCTGGCGCCCCCTTAGGGTCTCTTTACTTTTGCGATTAAGAAATATTTACAAAAAGCTACGTCTAGCGTATAAGGAGGCTGAATTGATGATGCACTATGCCGTTAAAGTCGAAGAACACAGGATAATCTTCTTGTTCGAACGGACTTGTTGAGTCTCTTTCGGGCTTGGCCTTTAATTCCTTTCAACGTCAAATTTGCAAACCCATATTTCGTCACCTCTTATAAACGTATATCGTAGTCGACTTTATTTATCAATTCCTTAGCAACTTCTATTCTGCACTGTTTTTGTTAAAAGTTCAGCAATTTGGTTTAAATTTTGCTGCAACACATATCATACCAAAACATTCGAAAGATTTTGGTGGCATAGGTCAATCGACTTGCCAATATCATCAGCGACTTTTCTGATTTTGATTTGGTGATCAATCACAAACATTCGAGGGGCTCGTCATCTTCTATAGTTTCATGGACATCTCTCTTCTTCAAGTGAGCTTTAATCTTTCACACAATACGCTCGATACAAACATATATGCGATGTTGAGGAGGCTTATGCTACGGTAGTTGGCGCAGATTTTGGGGTCTTCTTTTTTGTGGATTGGGCAGAGCAGACTTCCAGTTGTCGGTTCGGCTGGCAATCCATCGGCCTCCACCGCTTTGTTATTCTTCAGTCGTGTAATAGTCGAGCAATGAATTGTACTGTCCATCGTCATCCTTTGCGGAATCGGGTCACCGCCATCTTGAAAAGGTATATATTACACGGAGACTATTTTTTGTTTGGCAATTGGACTCTACAAACTCGGGAAATTTTAAAATCCCAGTTGTTGTTACGCCTTTAATAATAAAGTTTTAAAACAATCGATATATTATTTTCTTAACTTCTAAAAATCGTCTTAGGCGTAAACCTTAAGATGACGATTCTTTAATATAGTGCTATCTCTCATTATATATCCAAACCTGATTTTTGTACCGTGAACTTAATAAAGACAAGCCAAGTTGCAGAGTCTGAATTCGCCTCTCTTTGAAAAGAGGTGGAAAGAACAAACAAACGATCTAAATACGATAAGTTGGAATATTGTAAATAACTGAGTATAGCACATAAAGCGGTTATAACGGCTTAAAGACATATTCATATGATCTGTAAATCAATTGTCGCATTCGCTTTCAGTTATGATGAACTTGTATGTCTGAGCCGTTTCCAGCATTCGTTTTTATTTGGGATAAACTTGGACGGGTTTGGATCTTATACTAATGAAAATTTCTGCTATCTTCATATTATAAATACCCTTAGACTACTTTAGAAGAGCCATAGGTTGAAAAGTTGATAGAAAAAACATCAGCAACTTCTGATAACACAAATAAGTCAATCACAAAACAAAAAGGCAGAAAAGCGGGGAAAAAATCAAATAAGCTAAAACAAATATCGAAACATAACAAATAGTGAGCAGACCGTAAATCATAACAAAACAGCAACTCAAAGCGGTTATGAACAGCGATAAATATGTAGTATGAAGAGTCAAATAAATAGTGAGAAAAGTAAAAAAATACTGAAATACATAAACAACACAAAATTTGCTTTTGCCCCATTTGAACAAAAGTACATAACAGTCCGATCAAAAGTTGGAGAACAACAAAGAGTTGCCGCAACAAAGGAACGGAGGTGTGGTAAAACCAAGCCAAAAAGGTTGATAGATAACGTGGAAATTCGTTTGAGGCACAATTGAGAATTGCGGCTGGTACTTGTGGATATTGAGTGAAGTTTAGTGAGTGAGTAATTGCACGGGTGTTCATGTGAAATTTTGCCCGGCAAATTCCCCAGCGTAAGTTGTGCTGCAAAACGTGAATATGAATGAATGTAAATGCTATTTTTGTATATTACTTGATGTATGGTGGTAATTTTTCTCCTAGCTGAGGTAGAGTGAGAAGTTGGCGGGTAGACTGAACACCACATAAATCTCTAGAGTAATAAAAAAAGCGCAAAAGCAAAAGCGATAATACTTCACTAACAAAAAATACAAAGCTTTGGATGTGCATGGACCACTTTGAGGCATACATTTGGGCGTAAAAGTAATTAAAACTTAGGCGGGGAAAATACATACTCATTTGTGGTCACAAAAAATACCAAATCATGAATATCTCGTAGCTCTAGCTTTCTGAAAGCTTTAAGATACCATTATTGCGTTTATTTTTCATTGTTACCAGCAGCCCGTTGTAAAACCCACAAAAGTATGCAATAATGTAGAGTTTTCAATAACCATTCATGGCGTGAACAGCACATGATTCACGCTGGGGTCACATGTGTGTAAATGGCGTTTATAGATTTTTTGTACTAGTGAAAATTTAAATGAAATAAAAGTAATGAGATTGTCCAAATGCTGCGCCAAGTTATAAAAAAACAGTAAATTTCGCGCAAGTGAATTGAAATAACGTGGTAAGGGCAGAGAAGCCAAGAAAGCCAGTAGACTTTCACTTGTCGCAGTCTGCCAATATCGAGGGCTTTAAGTAATGCAAAGAAAATGCAAATAGTCTCCGTTTTCAGCTCACTTTCGATGGCAAAGGTGGTAAGTCTGCTTGTCGAATATGCCAATTGTGTCTTTGACATTTTTATGTGCTCAAAAATTTTTATTTTCTAAAGGTCGCTCGCGCAATGTTCTTCCTGTCCTTGGGTTAGCGCACCACTTCTGCACAAACCTCCCGTTCTAGTCGCCAAAAAATACTTGAATATGCTACACAGTTACTTGCAAAAATAATGTCACTATAAATATTATAGAGACATTTAGGCGAAAAGCCTGCAATTTGCATATATGTTTGGCTTTGAAATGCAGCTGTGTGGGGTGGTGAATTAAGGAGATACAGTGGGTCGCAAAAGTTTTGTAATATATAGAAATATTTTGGTATGCGGAAGCTATTTCAAGGGTTCATAAGTTATTTTTCGATAGTTATTTTTGAATTTGATTTTGTGGGCTAACGATGAGCTGTTTAATGTAGAAATGGCTGTGCCTAACTTTGAGCCATCATCTACATACATGTTGTAATTTCTTTCCGTGGCTTCATAAATCCTTAATACGGTCTAGATATCTTTCAAGTTCAGCTTGGTCGGCAGTATCATTTTTCTTTTCGCCTCTTCATTAATGGATCGAATTTCTTCTGCTTTTTTTTCAATTGTCTGCTTTAGGAGGACTACTATTCTATCAGTTGGGTCATTCGCTCTTGTTCCTGTGGCTAGGAGAAGCGTTTGCAACAATTCCTAGTCATGCACCATGCCAGTTTGCGAAGGGGTGCCTACAACCTTAAAAGCTTTAAATATTTAATCAACCTCCAAAGGGAAAAACTCAGGCTACTTGTCGCCTCTTACACTGTCCATTGTAAGCTGAAGAAGAACTTATTTAACATGGACCTAGCTTTTTATGCGAATTGCCGATTCTGCGACTTGGAGCCTGAAATACCAGTGCACCTGCTAATCTGTAGCCGCAGGATAAAGTCCCTTGGATCCTTTCACATCGCCTCAATAGCACCTACAATATATTGGCTAGTTGAGACATTGTGATTTAGGAGAGAGCATAATATACTAATCCTTATTTACTTATCTAATCTAATATAATCCTCTAAATGCTCAGTAGCGTTTATATCTATTTATTTATTTTTAAATAAACTGTTTTTATTCTTCAAAGAATTGGATGATTTTTATTTTGATTACCTTGTTGATCTTGCGGTGCTTCGACTCACAGCTGCTGTATATTTCTTTGAATAATAGTTTATTTTCTAGGCTCGATTGGACAAAATGCTTTGTCTTACAAACCAAAAAACAATATACAATGTGACCAAAAAGAAAAAGAGAAGAATATTGAGACATTTTTATCAAAAAAAAATTCGTGATGCAAGTGTTAGAAAGAAGTAAAGAGAACTCGGGATCTCTCGCGAGTCCGTTCGAATGATTTTTGTGAATATTTTAGGTATGACACGCGTTCTTGCTCGACTCGACTCGTCCCGATAAAGCTGATTTGTTGTCAAAAAGAGTACCGTGAACAAGTCTCTTTGAATATGCTTGCTTGTAGCCTCCAATCCCACTATCATGGAGAGCATTGTAACTGCCGATGTGGCATGGGCTTATGAGTTTGACATGCAAACAAGACAACAATCAATGGAATGGGGGAAAAACGAGCCGCAATTTATACATTGGCTATAATCTATATACTACATCTAGACTAAATGTTCTTTAATGGATGCTAATCGATAAATCATCTAAAATCTCTAACGTATTGTGCACTGTCTGTATATAAGTCTATAATATGTTAGTCATAATCCAGTGTCCATAATAGTATTGACAGACGGAAGCGTTAATCCGGGTTAACTGCATTAATTCGGTTTAATTCAGGAGTTAGTGAAGATAACACCGTTGCTAACACCCAATTAATCTTACACATT